TTTTTATTAATTCATTTATTTTTGTAATCGAGAAAAAAAACATATTTTTGTGACAAATCTAAAGCATATATAAATATTTATTTATTTTACTGTATAATACTGTAGATCTGTTCAGTTCAATGTATATAATAAACAACTGCTTTAGTTGTGTATAGTGTACACAGTTTATCAAATTAAATATTGGGAATCTTAAAGTACCCGTATTATTATTTATTATCATCCTGGCTAAACAGCGTGGAGTGTTTGGAAAGCAAACTTATTAGTCTAAAACAACAATAAATATAATTTGTTTGAAAAAACTTGCAATAAATTAAAATTAACGCTTTGTTTGGCGATAAACCTTTCAAATGAGACTAAAATATGACTTTTCCGACGGGAAGTCTAATCAGTAGTTGACAATCAATTGGAGTGATTATGTAATAATTGCATTCAATTGTCATTCAATCAAACATAAAAACTAATATTACAATAAACTACTGTTCAGTAGAAATACAAAAAAATTAAATAATAATATAATTGAGAAAAAGTGAGAAAAAGAAAGCGAATGAAACGAAAAGCGAGAGATATTTGTAATCCTTTGCTATTATCTAATAATTTGTGATATACTCTCAAACACTTCATGTGTTTCAATGAGTTTCGGTGAATACTATTGTGTTTTTCGATAAGAAACAAATAAATAGATATAAAGTCGTCGATACAAAAAAAGTAGTGACTACCAGAGCGATTGTAAGTATCAACACATATACACATTGATATACGTACTCCCAATACCCCCATAAGCGCATCGCCCCTACCTATCATCGGTGGCGGCGACGGCTATTACCTTGACTTCGAAGGCTGTCGTACTCTTTCGTATACACAGTCTCTCTCTCTCTCTCTCTCTCTCTCTCCGCTAATAACTAACTAATTCTCTTTCATACTATTCATTGCATTTGATTTTTCGCATTCAATTGAATCGCTCGCATAAAAAGTCTAACCACTATCCCTCACACATTTAATGATAGTTATAGTCTGTATAAAGCGTTTGTGTTTTAGTTTAAGTGAATCAGTATTGAAGCGATTGCTGTGTTGATTGGGAATCGCACTCACTTTTTACAGTGCAATGCAATCATAATATAATAAATAATAACATTCATAAATATTATGCGTGATATTCATCTCGTAGTGAAACAACTTATTATATAACTTATGATTTGCTAATAGAGTGCAAGAATGCAATGAATGCTTTCACTCGTACGCGCATAATATGAGTCTCAATATTGTCTAATTAATGATCACCACTACGACCACAACTGTTAGTGTGTGAACCGCCACCAATAACACCCGTACCGCGGAAAATAACATATGAATATTAAATTATTGACTTATAATCAGTTTAATTGCAATTTTCTCGCCTAAAGACGTCAATAGACTAATAGATTGTGTTTCACTTTTACTTCATACCACAGAAATGAATGAATGAATATTGAATGCCATAATAATAATAACAACATAACATATAATATGAGTAAGTATTGAATATTTTTTATTAACATATTTCCAAAAAATATAATTCTTTAAAACAAATATTATCTCTCATTATCTCGACTAATATAAGAATAAAAGCTTTATTCTCAANTATTCTCAAACTTTTATATCGCAAAACAAATCTTTTCTCTCATTTAATATAATATTTAGTTTCATTTTTATTACTTTATTCTATGATAACATGAATTATAGTATTAATTGCTTTTAAATGTCATATAATTTTTTTATGCCTCAACACACTGTGTATACCAGTATCTATTGTGGTCTCAATTTTAGTTTGTTAATACAATACTATATAAGTATTTGATTTTTTATGTGCAAATTGTGTTTGTATAGTTTTGTTATTTATCTATGTATTATTTGTGTGTGTTTTTAACTCAATCAATTCTCTCACACGAAATATTTACCAAAACTTTTATTTATATGAATTTGTATGACATATGCAGAGGTTGTTGTTGTCTGTGAGTACTTAATAGCCGGTTAATTTTGTTTAATTTATCATATGTTTATGTTTTCATTTAGTGATTTAAAACAAAAAATAACATCCCTGTAAAAAACCTTATTTTATAAAAACTTTATTTTAATACAAAGTGTACTCCCGGTGCGCATCACACACAATGTGTTTCGTAATATTATGAACAGTTATGTCATGTATACAATTGAAAATGCAGGCTTTGCTTTGTGTTCAATCAATTGAAAACTTTTCCAAATGTATATCTATTGTTATTAAAAATTCCATTTATTTGTATTAAATATAATATACTTTTCCACTATTTATACAAATAAATAATTGTAGATTCAGAAAGAGTTATTGAAGATTTATATAATTTCATAACTTATATAAACATTACGTTATTCAGTATATTTGCACAAATGCATTAGCTAATAATTGATTAGAATGCTAAATAAATAAGAATTACATATAGCAAATGTAACTCTAAATTATAATATTAATTATTTGTATAAATCATACTTTTACTAATTAAAGTTTAAATAAAATAGTGATAATTTTTCATTAAGTTTAATAAATTTAATCTTTTCGTTAAAACCCAAAAGGTATGGAGGAATTAGAGAATATTCTAGACGCGAATCCAGAATTATTGGACGATTATGTTGTAAAACACGTCGATTTGGATGTCATAGAGAATTGGCTGTTAAGAAAAACACAGAATAATCGCAAAAGAAGCTTAACTAAAGCCAGAGTTAAAGTAAAGTATCATTTATTAGCAAAACTTTTGTAGGAAATAATAATGAAAACCCCTCTCTTAATAATACAAACACTACTGAACACAGCTTATTGACAAAATTAATGAAATTTAACTCAGGGTATAATAAGAAGTTAATAAAATTAAGTGCATTAAAACACTAAAAAATAGGCCAGATGAATTATTTGGAAAATGATGAGATTTTGTACCAACTTTTAATAAATTGATAGACAACAAGTGCATACTATGTAAATGATATGCAATAGGCAACAGATTACCCAGATGGTATTCTCATATATGAACTAATGATTGCAAATGAACTTCAAGTTATTTAATTATATTTTGAACCCACTTTTAAATGACAATAATTTCAATTCACATTTACTAAATTCATAGATAAATCCGCGTAAATAGATATAGTAGTATCTGTAAGGATAGCGGGGGGTGTCTGAGAGTCTATCAATTTGTAGTCACATTATCTCGCAAATTAGTTCCCAAAACCTGGCTGACCTTCCCTACTAGAAAAAAATCAATTAAAATATTTAATGTTTTCTCTCTTTAAAAAACATAATTTATATGCATTTCTATGACATAAAAGCAGTCAAACAATCACCATGATAAGAGCAAAATGCTGGAGGAGTTAGAGAAGTACCTGCACTATAACGAGCCAAATAAGATAAACGTGTTGACACAACTGGCCTCTACGGTTGCCTTTGCTGTCAATGCGAGCCATTGGAATGCCTTTATCTACGATACCATCTCCAACGTGAGTGACTATTAAAATTGTAAAGTTTTTATTTATTTCTATTTTTTTAGTTTTCAATTTTTTCTGTGTAACTAGTCATGAGAATTGCGAAAAAATGTGTCGATTTTGTTAGTTTTTAGTAGAAAATAAATTGTAAACTCTATAATAAATTGTCATTTTTGTTTGTCTTTGAGTAAGTGATGTAAAAGGTTTTTCTCATCGAATTTATTTTAATGTAGAAATGGTTTCAGTATTTGCAGAATATTCTAAATGATTGCACAATACATGTCTCGAACTATAGTTTAATAGATTAGTGGAATAATTGCTAACAGATTCTGTAATACAAAAGTAAATGCTATTACTTTTAAGTGTAATATTTAATGCTCTTGAAACAATAATTTTAATTTGTATTTTGCAAAAGTTTTAAAAGCATTTTATCTACAGTAGTTTTATATAAATTTATACATTATAATTAAATTATTTATTATAACACATTTAATTATGTTTAAATTTACAAAACAAATACAATTAGGAAATGAAGAGAGTGTCGGAGGAAACCCAACAAATCCATGTGAATGGCTTTGGAGGAAAGGGAGATAAAAAGCAAACTCTGGTTGAGTATGTCTATCGCACAAAGCGTACACTCGTTTGGAAAGTCGATGACTATGTATGCAATTCTTGTGTCCAATCGGCTATTATTTATCTATAAAAAAATAATCTCATTTAAACCGTACGGACAGGACATACGGTTCAAAGATGGGTCGCTGTATATGCCTAACAATACTTATTACGTGATGGCCGTACCAATACTGCAAAAGTCTGACAAAAGTGTTCTGGGTCCGTATATAAACCAATTAATTAATCCAATACCACACACACCGATACAGTATATGTAATGCAAATTAATTAATTTATAGTAGAATTCCCTTTCATATGAAATACTGTTAAATCATCTTATTTTATGAACATATTTTGAATACAAAATTTATATGAAATATACAGTACTAGTATCATTTATTATAAATATAACACTTATGTATATAAGTTATATGAAGTCATAAGATTGGACAGACAGTAGACAGTGTCAATCAGTCATTGATATTACATATAATAGCCTATAATTATGAGATATTGCGATAATATTAGATTTTAAACAATTTATTTGTTGGGCCCTCAGGTGTACTGGAATTATACAAAACCAAAGGCTCGGAACCATTCATCGATGAGGACGAAGAGGTAATCAAAAGTTTGCTTTGAGTACAAATATACGATGTTTTAATGATATTAATTACCAGCACACTTTTGTAACAAGTATATAATTATCACATTCACACACAAAAGTCAGCGCTAACTTAATACTATACATCAGACATGTGATTAAATTTTTGAGGAAAAAATTTGATTATTTCGTATAATTGATTGTCATTTTCATAAACATTTATGACATAGGATTACGTCTTTATTAAAATCAAGAATCGCTATATTTATAATCAATAAATTTTGATAATATTTATCAATAAAATTTTTATTTGTATTTTCTTACAGATAGTCCAAAGTTATATCGTTTGGGGCGGTATAGCACTTCATTACGCAGAGGTATACATAATTCGTGTTAAATACACGCTAGATAATACAGTGTATAGTGTAAATTTGTACACTGTAAAATAATAGAAGTTTGCATGTCAGAATATAGTTTGTATAAAAGGGACAAAGGATTCTGTTTATAAAATTATAAGTTTAAGAAATAGAGAATTTATTCTGTAATGAAACTTAAATTACTATACCCCACCCCCACCATCCCAACCCCGTAAACTTATTTATATTTTAGACGTATCAGTGATATCACTATCAATGCACTAAAACTTCACATTCACCTCTCAAACGCCTTTACACTTGCAGAGTATAGCAATCATAATAATAATACAGATATTAATTAATTCTGTTTAACATATATATCAATCTCAAGGTTAGAATTAGCGGAAAATAATGTTTGTTTGAATAATTCATGAGATTTTCCAATTTTCTCCAATTAATTCAATGATTGATCTCTGAAAACTCGTGGTGTGTTTGTATAGTATAGTATATAACATGTCCCAGATATTTTATACTGTATTCGCCAGTACACTATACAAACGTAAATGACACTGCAATTAATGTACAGTAAACACACGTTTCATATACACTATTAAAATATTCTGTGATATTTTATTAGCACTCATCTCTTATTAGTCAAAAAATTTATTATGAAAATACAGACTGAGACAGCATTTTATACACTATAAAAATGTTCATTATATTGTAATGTAATGTAATTTTACTATTTTTTTATTACACAGTTGTTTACAAACCTATCACGTCAGAGAAAATTAAATACCTTTCTGTTGACAGTTGTTAAGTAAGTCATGATTTGAACAATTTTTATGATATAATTTATTACCATTTTATAATAATTTTATAATGATTTTAATTTTGCATTCAAATTATATTAAAATTTTTCTGACAATACGTTTATATTTATCGTAATCAATAGATCCATATTCCAAGACATGATAAGTATGGATACAGTTATCGCTAAAATTATGGTTAGTTTACGAATAATTCAATAGTAAATCAGACACATACTCCCTATTTTTATACATAACTGCTTATAGAGAATCCCATTCAGAATTTTGCATATAATATGAAGAATTTTATAGAAAAAGATAAAAACCTTTATAAATACATTTAGTAAAGCAAATCAGACATTTATTATAATTGATAAACAGTTAATTAATTACATCTATGGGTTAGGAATACGCAAAAACACTGGTGAGCGCCGACAGGACGTCACTATTTCTGGTCGACTCCAATGATAAACAACTTTACGCACATATATTTGAAGTGAATGATAATAAGGTATATAATATCATCAAGACACACAATTTATTCAATTAATGTATGCAATGCATACGCATTCAGAGTTATGTCATTAAAATCACCTTGTTGAGGATTCATAGACAGACACACGAGTAATATAATGCAAATCCATTGACAGGATATACCAGACAATTACCATTCATCTCAGTTATCTCTTTCTAAAAGTCGCTTACCATACATAAGCAGAATATTCTGTTTGTGTGTTTGTATTGTTATCATTATATGTAATGAAAAAAACATTTTTAATGTTCAGCTGTTATCGAGACTTAATGCTCAATATAAGTGCAAATTTATTGTCTAATAGTATAATCATTTGCACACATATTCACAACTAAATTATCGCACAACATGAGAAACGAGATTTAATAAGAATATTAACACCTAATCTATATTCTAATAAACAACAAATATTATATTTCAATCTATAGTATAAACTATCGCATTTTTCTAATCGATTATGTTTAATATTTAAAACCACTGGAAACTTTAAAGTATATGAAATATGCGAGATTAACTGTTTAATAAGGTTAACTTGTAATGAAGTTAAATTCCGTCAGATTAGCAATTTAAAATTTAAATTGCAGTTATTTTTAAACTTTTTATTCATAGTTGCATTTAATAAATATAATTAATAAATATTCCCTATAATAACATAATATCTAAACATGTTTGCAACTATTGACAGGAGAATGGAGACGACCCCACAATTACCAAAAAAGAGATCCGATTCCCGATCGGCACCGGCATAGCCGGCACTGTAGCCAAGACGGGAGAGGCGCTCAACATTCCCGACGCATATGAAGACCAAAGATTTAATAGAGATATCGATCAGTTGACTGGATATAAGACTAGAAACTTGTTGGCGATGCCTATATTCAGCAAAAATAAGTTAGTTTCGCATTGAATTAAAATTATTTATAAAATCTACATAATTGAAACACAAATCCATTTCCCGCAGAGTTATAGGTGTCGTACAAATGCTTAACAAAATGAAAGGAAACTTCAATAAAGTAGACGAAGAAAACTTTAGTACATTTGCAACGTATTGCGGGCTGGCGTTAGATCACGCCCGGGTAGGTTTGCCAGTCAACCGCTATCGGACTCTAATTTGTGATTAATTTGTATTTTATTTATCATACAATTTATGGGAACAGCTCTACGAAAAGATACGAAAGTCAGAGCAGAAGAATAAGGTGGCGCTCGAGATACTGTCCTATCATAACACTAGTAATAGCGAGGAACTGGAGCGCACACGGGAGGACGTCATCAAATTCAAGACACCCCAGGTCTTAGAGTAAGGCATAAACTTATATCCAGTCAACTGATCGATATCTCTATTAAATCTTTGGTCTTCATATGCGTCGGGAATGTTGAGCGCCTCTCCCGTCTTGGCTACAGTGCCGGCTATGCCGGTGCCGATCGGGAATCGGATCTCCTTTTTGGTAATTGTGGGGTCGTCTCCATTCTCCTGTCAATAGTTGCAAACATGTTTAGATTTTATGTTAGTTTAGGAAATATTTATTACTGTAAATGCAACTATGAATAAAAAGTTTAAAAATAACTGCAATTTAAATTTTAAATTGCTAATCTGACGGAATTTAACTTCGTTACAAGTTAACCTTATTAAACAGTTAATCTCGCATATTTCATATACTTTAAAGTTTCCAGTGGTTTTAAATATTAAACATAATTAATTAGAAAAATGCGATAGTTTATACTGTAGATTGAAATATAATATTTGTTGTTTATTAGAATATAGATTAGGTGTTAATATTCTTATTAAATCTCGTTTCTCATGTTGTGCCATAATTTAGTTGTGAATATGTGTGCAAATGATTATACTATTAGACAATAAATTTGCACTTATATTGAGCATTAAGTCTCGACAACAGCTGAACATTAAAAATGTTTTTCTCATTACTATAATGATAACAATACAAACACACAAACAGAATATTCTGCTTATGTATGGTAAGCGACTTTTAGAAAGAGATAACTGAGCGCTATATTGAGATGAATGGTAATTGTCTGGTATATCCTGTCAATGGATTTGGATTATATTACTATTACTCGTGTGCCTGTCTATGAATCCTCAACAAGGTGATTTTAATGACATAACTCTTGAATGCGTATGCATCTCATACATTAATTGAATAAATGGTGTGTCTTAATGATATTATATATACCTTATTATCATTCACTTCAAATATATGTGCGTAAAGTTGTTTATCATTGGAGTCGACCAGAAATAGTGACGTCCTGTCGGCGCTCACCAGTGTTTTTGCGTATTCCTAACCCATGAATGTAATTAATTAACTGTTTATCAATTATAATAAATGTCTGATTTGTTTGCTAAATGTATTTATAAAGGTTTTTATCTTTTTCTATAAAATTCTTCATATTATATGCAAAATTCTGAATGGGATTCTCTATAAGCAGTTATGTATAAAAATAGGGGGTCGGGAGTATGTGTCTGATTTACTATTGAATTATTCGTAAACTAACCATAATTTTAGCGATAACTGTATCCATACTTATCATGTCTTGGAATATGGATCTATTGATTACGATAAATATAAACGTATTGT